CTCCATATTACTTCATAGATGTTTCTGATTCTCTTCCCAGTGAGAATGACTTCATTTGTGGAGATGTTCTTGAGAGATGCCATGTCCTTGCAGAATTCCAAGGAGTAACCTTTATCACAAAACTGACTTATGCTAAGAAGGTTGTAATTGAGACCTTCAACATAAGATACAGCTTGGATAGTTAGTCCCTTGTACACCAGATTTCCTAGCCCTTTGGTAAGGCCAAAATCATTGCTTCCTCCAAAAGTAACTCTTGGACCATCATAGGGAATTAGATTGCTCAAAAGGCTCATATCACCCGTCATGTGTCTTGAACAGCCACTGTCTAAGTACCAGACACCTGGGTACTTAGTGGCTTCCTGCATTAGGAGGAGGAAGATTTTGGTACCCAATTAAGTTTGGGTCCGGAGTAGTTAATGGTGTGTGTCCCTACATCAAGTTTGAAGTTGCATGGAATCTTCCTTGCAGCTCTAAACTTGTTGGGATTGTAATCATAGTTGTAGGCATAAAACTTCCTACGTGCAGGAGGGGTTATTTCTTGTTTCCTCCTAGCAAGCCTAGGTTGATAAGACCTATAATTTTGTCTAGGTTGTGCATAGTGTGTCCTGTGTCCACTCAGAATCTCTTGGAAAACTCCTGTCTACCCCATAATGGGTATAGCCTCGTGTATAATGGGAGTCGGAAGGTTTTCTTCTGAAATTATTTCCTTTTTGAGGTCTGTCCAGCTTCCTATAGTTCTTAGGAGGGACTACCTTTTTGGGAACTTCTGTTGGTTTTTCTTTTTCCTTCCCTTTCTGCTTATTTGGTTTAGCAGTAGGTTTAAGAGGGATGAAGGTTGTTTTCCCTTTCCTTTTAGAATTGGAGGGGTCAAACCCAAGTCCTTCACGACCCTTATGTTTGGTCGTTTCAAGAAGCTTATCCACTGCTTCTTTGGACTTAAGAGTCCCTAGTTCTTTGTTAAGGGATTTCACCTTTTCAGAGAGAGATCATTTTCAGTCTTGAGTTGAGTGATCTCATTCAGTTGACTTTTCCGACCTTCAGTCAACTTGAGATTCTCTTCACTCAATAGTTTGTTCTCCTCTGTTAAGGAAGAATGTTTGAGATTTATCTCCTCAAAGTCTTTCATCATCTTTTTGAACTGGTCAAAAAGATTTTCAGAAGTTGGTATGCTTTCGTAAGAAGATGAGCAGAAGGTCTGTGAGGTTACCTCTTGATCAGCATCATCTTTGGCCATTAGGCAGAGAGTGTCATCTTCTGACATAGTCCACCTTCTGACAGAGTGTCATCTCCGTACTTCTCCACTTTTGGGTACGTGCATGCTGACTTCCAGTGGCCGGGCTTCCTGCAATTGTAACACAAATAAGATTCAGGAGGAGAGTCACTTACCTGTGGCTTTCCCTTGGATGGCCTTCTGACTGAGTCAGCTTTCTTGAAGAACTTATTGAACTTCCAGAATTGCTTGACCATCATGGCAAATTCCTCATCGTAGTTCTCCATTTTTGAACTTGATGGCTTACTGGAGGAAGGTGTGTCACAGTTCCTTGGGCATGTCCCTTCACTTGATGGTACTCTTGGAGCTGTCATCAGTGCCGTGGGGAAGGGAGTGACTTGTTCTTCCTTCTTCTTCTTCAGCTCGTGCTCATAGGTTCTGAGCTCATCAAGAAGACCTTGGACAGTGTAGTTCTCCAGATTTCTTCCTTCTTCCATGGCTGTGGCTTTGGTGTACCACTCAGTTGGAAGAGATCTCAGCAACCTTACATTCTTTTCTTTGGGAGAA